GGTAGGTTCTGTGACCATCTGTTCCATAGCACAGTCATTGAGAATGTCTAGAAACTCAATCTCTTTTTCCCGACTTGAACACATATTGACCCAATCAATGTGTGGGTAGTTAAAATCACCTTTTACGACATAGTTATTTTGTCTAGCCGCTATCTTTAATTCATTCATCTATATATCTAATTCCCAACATGCCCCCTCCGTGCAGATATCTAAATCTGCACATTGGGGGCACTTTGGGGGGGCAGGGAGGTTTTCCTGTACATTTGGGGAATACCCAGATGTGCCAAAAAATCTGAAAACTTGGAAAAAATATGTGGGGGATATTTAAATCCCCCCCAAAATAAAAGAGCGTTCCCTGCGCAGGTGCAGGGAACGCTCTGAGAATGGCTTTGCTGCCGCTGCCGCAACGGAGGGGGTGGGGGTGGGAGAAGACATGGCTGTAAGCGGCTCAGCCCTCGCTGCCATCCGGGGGGAGGGAGAAAGTTTTGCAGGCCGAGTTCAGGCCTCACCGCTGCCGCTGCTGGGGGGAGGGAGAAAGCTTGGCAGGCCAGCTAGGCCTTACCGTTGTCTGGGGGGGGAGAAAAAGTTCAGCGGGCCGGCCAGGCCTTGCCGCCACCTGGGGAGGAGGGAGGGAGAAAGCTTGGCGGGCCAAGTTCAGGCCTCGCCACCGGTGGAGGAGGGAGAAGGCTTGGAGGGGTGTGGACCTCGCTGTGGGTGCCGGGGGCAGGGGAGAAGGCTCACCTGCGGCTGCTTTCTTCTCATCCCGTGGAGCTTCTCCTCCCCTCCTGTGAGTATTGCGGGTCCCCCTTCTTGTCATTTTATAATCCTCTATCTTTTGATCTGGTTGGCGATAGCAAACTCCCAGTGTTAAGCTTCCTTTTGGGCCCACTATTTCGACCTATAGCATTTCCAGAAGTGAATCCAATTCCCTTACCCTCTCAGTCTTACTGGACTGTATACCCTCTCTGATATACAGAGCCACCCCACCTCCAACCCTTCCCCCCATCCTTCTGATATGATTTATAACCAGGATTCACCGTATCCCACTGATTTTCCTCATCCCACCCAGTTTCTGAAATACCCACAATGTCTATTTTTCGCCCAACACCAAGCATTCCAACTTCCCTATTTTACCTCGGTCACTTCTAGCATTGGTATATAAACAGCTATAGTTTCCCATGCATGTTAAGCCCACAGCCTTCCTCTTGCTTCCTTGAGACCTTGCCAGGCAGTCCATATCGTTAGCCACAGTCTCAGTGGACAATTCTAATCCATTTCCTTGTAGAAAAGTATCTGCTACTCCTTCATCTTTTTGAGATGAGCCATCCCGAACCAGAGACTTTTAATCTCCTGTTGGCTTTCCCCCAGTATTCAGTTTAAAAACTGCTCTGCCACCTTTTTGAATTGAAGTGCCAGCAGCCTGGTTCCTTCTCGGGACAAGTGGAGGCCGTCTCTTTTGTACAGCTCCCTCTTGTTCCAAAAAGCATCCCAGTGCCTAACAAACTTGAACCCTTCCTCCCTATGCCATCGGACTCATCCATGCATTGAGACTCCTGATCTGTGCCTGTCTCTCCGGCCCTGTGCGTGGAACAGGTAGCACTTCTGAGAAGGCTACCTTGGAGGTTCTGGCTTTGAGTTTCCTGCCTAGGAGCCTAAATTTTTCCTCCAGGACCTCACAACTGCATTTCTTCACATTGTTGGTGCCAACATGTACCACGACCACTGGCTCTCCCCCAGCACTATCTACCAGATTATCTAGAACATGAGTAATGTCTGCTACCTTCGCACCAGTCAGGCAAGTCACCATACGGTCAGTATGCAGGTTTGCCTCCCAGCTATCTACCTGCCTAAGGATTGAATCACCAACTACCAAGAGCCCCCCTCACTCCCTGCCAAGGGATGGTTCCATGGTGCGAAAGGATACCCGTTCACCAGCTGAAGAAGAGGTCCCTTCTGAGGGCACATTCCCCTTATCCACAGCATGGTGCCCTGTTTAGATTATCATGCTCCCTTACAACATTGGTGCTGCCATTATCAGAGTGGGAGATAACTAACAAGTTCAGTCTTCTCCATGTGTCTGACTGACTGTCTCTGCTTTTCCAGGTCAGCCACCTTAGCCTCAAGGGAGCAAACTTATTCCCTGAGAACCAAGAGCTCCTTGCACCAGGCACACACCCAAGACTTCTGTCCAGTGGGCAAATAGTCATAAATGTGACACTCTGTGCAAAACTCTGGATAGCCCCCAACCCCCTGCATCCTGGCTTCATAATTGCTTTTAAAAGAATAATTATATATAATCCTCCTTTTGAAATCTTTTGTATTTATTTGGTTCTTTTTGTAGAAGTCTAGTTACCTTACTGGGAACCCAAGGAGACTAGCTTTCTGGCTCTTCCTGGGCTTCTTACAGAGCCCCTAGTCTAAGAGTCCCTAGGCTAAGAGCCACAGGCCAAGAGCTCATGCCTCTGGCAAGGTGCTGCCTTAAATAGACCTCTCCCCCAGCAGAGGGCGTAGCCAGCAGCTATTCAAATTCAGCCAGGCACTCAATTACAAACAATAACTCTTTCTCACCCTGTCTCAAGCAGCCAGGATTCTGCAACAACTCAAAACTCACCCACACACTCCCAAACACAGTCCCCCCACAGTACCCTCTCAGATAAATCACCTCAGCTGAAACGAAATAAAAATACTCACCCCTCTAGCAGCTCTATTTGCTGCTCCTTCTCAGAGCTCAGCTGGATCAGCTGAGTCATATTGGGTCACTATGTCCTGAGTCGAATGGACAATGTAGCTACCAAGACCTACCTCAACAACCAAGTGGGATCCAGATGTTCCAGGCTCCACAAGGAGGCCACTTTGATACTAACCTCTAGGTCTTGTCTCTTTTCTTCCTCTCATATCCATAAGAAAAATACTCCACTGTGACTGACAGAGAACAAAACATTGGTGCCATAGCATCAAGAAGGGATCCCTGACAAACTTAGCCAAGTACACATGTATGAGAGGCCTCTGCATTATTACAGAGGAAAATAACTATTAGATAGTATATGCATACCAGAACTGCTCCTCTTGCCATATGTGGCCTTGGAGATGGAAAATATAAAATGCCTTGTAAATCTGGTGTCTGGGATTGTCTTGTGAATACTGGAGTCCTATGTTTCTATTTTTCTACTCGGTAGTGTCTTACTTAGTAAAACTGAAAGATTCACTGAAATCAGCAGCTTTTTAAAGTTGGAGCTGTTGGTGTGTTAGCAACTTAATAAAATTGTTATGTTCTTAGACACAAGTAGAGGCTGGTAAATGGTGCACTGGATTCAAAAAAAAGCTAAGTAACTGTGTTTAGGAACAGGCATTAGCATAAGGAATAAGCTTTGGATGCCTTTATTAGGCTCAGGGGGGAGGTACTGTCACAACAGAGCCAGGGGGCCGGGCAAAGAGGGAGAGTCAAAAGGCAAGTCCAAGAGTCAGCCAGAGGGAGCAACCAGAGTCCAAGCGAACAGTTCCAAATACACAGAGCCAAGCCGTTGTCAAACATTACCAATAGTCAGAGTCCAGTATCGTGGTCAAGAAGTATAGAGGGATCGCCAAAGGGAGCCAGAGGGATCGCCAAAACACAGACCAGATTCAGGAACCTGGAGATCAGTCAAGAGCCAACACAGAGCTAGAGGTGCAGAACGTCTGGTCCACGGACGAGGTTGCCAGCACAGTTTGCTTGCAGCCAGCGGTCTCTTCAAATAGTGTGCTGGCTCGTTATCTTGTTAACATTCCTTTGCGAGTCCTTGTTTCTGTCAGTAATCAGGGCTTAACAATCATCGTACACGCAAGTGTGCCTCCTTGCACCTGATTGCCAGATCCCGGGATCTCTGGTTTCTCAGCCGGTCCACAGGTGGCGGCGAGTTGGGTGGCGAGCTGCTAGGGCCAGGTATTGCCTGATCAGCTTCAGGTGCCAGCTGTCCTGTAGTTTGGTGTTCATCCTCCCTGGCACTTAGGTTTGATGAGGACTCTTGTACTTCAGAGGTTGTTAAAGGTGCAGAGTCCTCATTTTCCAGGCTCCCAGGTGCCGGGTCGGGGACAGGTGTGACAGGTACTTAGCAAACCCTTTCAGTGGCTGTCTGAAGGAATGATAGTCTTGCTTTTAAACGGGTTATTTCATAGAAAAGAGGTGAAGGAGCTCATTAGCATAACTCATTAGCATAACTTATTTGCATATGCCACACCCCCTGACATCTCCCTTCCCTTCGCCTCTAAGCCAGGCAAAGGAAAAGGAGGGGGGGAAAGGATCTCAGGCACTTCTGCCTGACAGAGAGGCCATCCCGCCAGCCCCTCTGACAGGCAGAAGCACCTGAGTTCTGTTCCTTTCCCCCTCTCCCTTCCCTTTGCCTCCAAGCGGGGCAAAGGAAAAGGGGGGGAGATCTCAGGTGCTTCTGCCTGACAGAAATGGGCCAGGGAGGGCAGCAGGCGGGCCAGAGAAGTGGGCTAAGGTGGGCCCTGCTCTTTGCATGGCCTTCCTGGGCTCACCCGCCTCGGAGGGGCAGGCCAGGGAAGGCATGGGGAGGCATTTAAATGCCTCCCCCCTCTTTGCAGGGCCTTCCCCGACCTGCCCATTTTGGCAGTTGGGCTGGGGAAGGTACGGGGAGGCGTTTAAATGCCTTCCTTTGCACGGCCTTCCCAGGCTCGCCTGCCTCGGTAGGTGGGCCAGGAAAGGGCGGGGGGAGGGGCTCTCTCCAGGCTCGTTACTGCCGGAACACCGTCCCGGCTCGTTCTGGCTGGAAACGACGCCTGCTTTTAAAATCGTTCATTGTCACATAGTACTGTTGATAGACGACTGAGATGCACAAACTAACATTTTTTTTAATGTCACAGGTTTTATCTTAACAAATTTATTATTGAAACAAAAAACTAGATGTAAATTATTATCAGTTTAACTGAAGCATATGAAAATGCTATCTGGAGAGTCTAATAATAAAACTTTTAAATGTATTTTTCCTTCCTTGCATTTGCAGGCTTATGAAAGAAGGTTTCCCACATGCCCCCTCATTCCCATGTTTGTAGCCAGTGATACTGTGAATGAGTTCAAGAGTGACGATGGAGCGATACATGTGATTGAAAGACGCTGTAAATTGGACATAGATGCACCACGACTGCTGAAAAAGGTAGCTGAACAAGATGCTGAGTTAAAGGTCTAAATATTTATCTGCAAAGACGCTGTTGATTGAACCCAGTCTGTTTTTTGTCAGATTGCAGGGGTAGATTATGTTTACTTTATCCAGAAGAACTCCTTGAACAGAAGAGAACGCACTTTACACATAGAGGCCTACAATGAAACTTTCTCAAACAGAGTTGTGATTAATGAACACTGCAGCTATACGGTGAGTAAGGCAGAGGAATCCAACGGTTGAAAGGGTTGGGACAGGCTTGCATTTAGCTTTCAATATCCTGATCAGAGGTCTCATTTTTGGGTATTCCTAGATTAACTATATTTTTGCACATCTTGGTTTCTACAACTCTTCAGCTGTTTAAAATGCACTTAATTTTTAGAAGTGTTGTTTGGGACATAATCCCACTGAGTATCAAATCATTTGTCACATATAACAGTCTGTGTCCAGGCAGTTCCAATACATGGGCTAATGTCTGTTTGAACAAAAACATTTTTTTTTCTGCTGTGGATTAACTTAGAGTTCTAAATACAGATGTAAAATTTCCAGAAATTTTGAAGACGTAGAGGAAAAACTTAATTTTGGGGAGGAAAAATGGAAATGTTGAGAAAAATTGAATGCAATACTGTCCTGCCAAACCGAAATTAATTTAACTGCTTTAACAACATGAAATCCATTATTTATAACATGTTTAAATTATAAAATTGCAATATTTGATATATTTGTGCAATTTAAAAGTCAAAAATACCTTGGTTCTCTACAATGGATATTACAGAGATGCCCAGTACTTAAGAGAAAACTGCATTAATTTTTGCTATCTGGTTAGGGAGAACTCAGTTCTCGGTGAAACTTGTGCTCTGGGGCTTGAATGCAGTTTCTGCCACACCCTTTTCTGATCTTTTTTTCCCCTCCAGCAGGGTAGGGCAATAAGCTACTATGACAGTTCCCTGCCATAAAAGAAAAGCTAAGAAGCCCCTTTTTCTTTTTTGTTTTTTTGTCTGTCCCCACAACTGTTTAAATGTATACAGGTATATGTATATAGCCTGTGATGCTGATGAACTGAAAAACCCTTCTTTGGTATATGTCTGATTATGGCCCATAAGAGGCCGATATTAATTCACAACATATAAACTGTTTGATTTCACTTTTATGTGGACATGGTGAAGTCGAGACTGTCAGGGAGGTTTCAGTTTTAAACATAGCAGGTGAAAAGGCAACAGGAATGAGGGAAAGTTTGTATAACTATATACAGTAGGTAGTTTGTTACAAAAATGTAGCTGTTAGTTTCTACAGACTAGTGTTGGAATTATGGGTAATGCCTGCCACCTGGCTGCCTTTGCCATGCCTCCTGTTATAATTTAAAGGCCTTTCTCTCTGTTAATCTGTGAAAAGGGGGGTGTGGGTGTTGAAAATTAAAATTGAAATATAAAGTATAATCGGTTTCTCCACCTAAAAATATTGAAGACAAAAAAACTTGGTAAAACACCAGTAACTGGTGGCTCTAAGTGAAATGTTTCAGGTCTCAGTTTGCAGCCTAATCATATCTAGAGGTGTTTTATTTATTTCATTGGGTTAAGTGTGCTGTGCTCTGTGTCTAGCCCCGGACATACCTGCCAGCCAGGAGGGTGTGTCCGGGAGCCGGGTGGTGAGGGGGTCGAGCCATCGCTGGTGCAGAGCGCTACAGGAACGTCCTCTGCCGCTGCTGGTGGATCCAGGTTGGGGAGGCCCAGCAGCGGCGGTGGTGCATGGCTGCCTGGAGACCCATAGAGGTCACTGGACGAGGACGGGCTGACATGCTCAGACGGTGCTCCATGGGTGGGCCGAGTGAGGTTGTGGCACCACAGGTCCTGGTGGTGGGATGAGGAGGAAGAGATGAGGGAGGCCACGTGTCCAGGGCAGGGAGAGGCGACAGTGAGAGGAGATGGGGGGGGGATGGATACCACCCCCACTCTAAACTGAACAAGAAGGAGATGGGAACAGGGGCCAATGATCCTGGCCAATGAGAAAGGGGTGTGGGTGGAAGGACAGGAGAGGGAACCACTCGAGATGCAGGAACAGGGGCAGAGCAGAGCTAAGGGACATAAAAGAAAGCATGAAAACTGGGGTCGAGGAGGAGGAGAGCGGAGGAGTTGGACCAGGTTGTTGAAGGAAGAGAGAGAGTGAGAGAGAGAAGCCAAGGGAAGGCTCCATAGAGTGCCTGTGGCTGGCTGGCAAAGGCCTCTCATCTGCATTCTGAAACCCCAGCAGCCCCTTTGCGCTCCAGTCGCCATGGCCAGTAGTGTCACGGCAATGTGGTGGAGGATGCAAGCATACAACCTGCAATAAGGAGGCCCTTGCCTCACATCCTGGAATGTCCAGGGTGGAGCCCTGCTTACCCTTGCTTGAGAGCCATATGGATTTGGCTCAGTTTGGACAATGGCTCGCGGAGCATCAAGCTCAGTTTCTCCGTGACGTCACTTAGCAACCACAGGCCTATCGGGCCACATTGCTACGAGACTTCCAACAGTCCTTAGCCACAGCACCAAGGAATGCCAGGGATGGAGTGGGGGCCGGAGATGCCCAGAATCCCCCAGCTGCGTGGCCCACCCATGACTCTTGGATTCCCACTGACCAAACTTGGACCAGACAATGATGTGGAAGCCTATTTGGAGGCATTTGAGTCTGCCGCCCAGTGGCCAGGAGCACAGGTGCCTTTTATCTTGGGCCCCTTTTTGTCAGGAAAGGCACAGGCAGCTATGAGGGTCCTATCCAAGGAAGAGACAAGCAATTACACCAAGGTCAAAGTGGCAATTCTGGACAGGTTTTCCATTACACCAGTGTCTTACAGACCAAAGTTCCTCTCAGTGGTGTGGTAGCTTTGAGAAATGCTTGGTGGTTACAACCCCAGACAGATGATGGCCGGCAAGTAGTAGAACAGGTGTTTCTGGAGCAACTTCTGCAGATAGTCCCCTCTCACACACGGCACTGAATAGCCTGCTTGTGACCCCCATGCTTGGATGAGGCCCTCAAGGTATGGGAAAATTATATGGTGGCCGAAGGTGCTGCTCTACCTAAAGAAGGGAGCTGGACCCCTGGAACCCCATCCCAGGACCACGCCCTGCCCTTGGGCGTGGGGTTAGGCCCGCTGGCGGTGCCCAGCAGGTTAGAGATTGACCCACTCCAACCAAGCTGACATCCAGACCCTGGACCCCAAGCTGGTGAACACCCATGCCAGTACAAGGACAAAAAGGTGACCCCCCCCAGTGACAACAATGGGTGAGTCCAAGAGCACGCTGCCATGGCTTGGTGACCCTAGGCCCTGTTACTCATGTGGTCAGCAGGAACATTGCAAACTGGAATGCCCGCTCATGGAGTGAGACATGGGTTGGGAATCATCGTTGCAAGCTAAAGATCAACAACTACAAGTGCCCTTCATGATTGTGTCACTGTTGGTCAAAGGTAGATCATTACTAGCAATACTGGACAGTGGTAGCTCCAGTATTGGCCAGAGAACCTCCCCGTTATTAGGGAAGTGAAGATCACCTGTTTCCATGGTCATATGGAACAATGCCCTGTCATTCTAGCTAAGGTGGTTTTCTGGGGGATGGAACACATGCTACCCCTGGCCAAGGTTCTACACCTGCCCTATCCAGTCTTTTTGGGATGGGATGCCCCCAGTTTCACCACAACCTTGAAGGAACAGCCACAGGATGAATCATGGGCCACCCTGGCCTCTGACGCCCAAGTGTCCAGCCACGATACCCAGGCTGCAGCCCCACCTGAAACCGAAGAGGAGAGAAAAGACTTAGAAGTGTGGGCCCAAGACCTGTCCTTTGCTCGAGCCCAAGAGGGGGACCCCACATTGGAAAACCTCCAAACGCAGGTGACAGTGAGTATGGGGTGGGTGCGGGACATTCAGTGCAGCCAGCAGACACCCTGCATAGTTAAGTAGAAGAGGGTGTGGTATCGGGAGGTGGAGAACCAGAGGCAACTATACCATTAATTAATAGTGCCACAAACTTTGGGAGGGGGAAGTTTTACAACCGGCCCATGACCACGCGTGGGCTGGCCACCAAGGGGTGAAAAGCACCCTTCTTTGGTGGTCCAGGAGTGGGGCAGTCCTTGACTCCTTACTCTTGGGAAAGCACCTCCCCCTTCCGTAGGCAGGGCCGGCAAACTTTGATCCCAGAGGGGAGGGGCTTATCCTGTGATCCCCAGTCATACCGGAAGCCACCTCCGAGCTGCTGTAAATTCACTTAAAAAATAACTCCTTCCCCCTCAGACAGTTGGGGAATACCATCACAGCCATGGGCTTAAACAAATACAAACCTGTATTTTAACCATTAGAGCAAACAAACAGCAACAGTCCGCCACATCACGTAATCAGTTAGACCATATTCATGAACAGCTGAACCACTGCCCACCGAGAAGGAAGCTTCACGGTAAGTGAATACAAATCTTCCATTCACAGGGTCCTGGTCCACTTCTTCTGGCCCTCAATGGCTCAGGAGGTCTGTATGTTCTGCCAGTCCTGTACGTGTGCCAGAAGACATCCAGCTGACCCACCCCCAGAGCCCCACTAGCACAGATGCCCCTTATTGGCACCCCGTTTGACCAAATCACTATGGACTTCATAGGCTCGTTGCCCAGGACACCCTGAGAAGCGTGCTACCTGTTGGTTATAATGGACTGTGCTACCCAGTCCCCTGGAGTCGTACTGCTGCCAAGCATGAATAGTGCGGGTATAGCCCGTGAGATCCTAATGGACCGGGGTACCCTGTTTATGGCCTGTCTTATGTGCCAAGTCTGTGGGGTTCTCCAGATCTGACAATTGTACACAACAGCTTACCATCCTCAAACCAATGGGCTCATGGAGCACATCAACCAAATGGTCAAGCTTATGTGGCAATGCATAGCCTACGGCCACCCCAGCACGTGGGACCTCTATGTAAACCCTATTATTTGCCCTGTGTGACACTCCTCAGGCATCTACAAGCTATGCCCCAATTGAGCTGGTATATAGGTGCATTCCCCAAGGCGGAGGAATAGTGGGCTACGGTGCCTGCAAAAGAGGAACACGAGCCAGATACATATGTGTGGCAACTGTGAAAGCGGCTGACGGCCATGCAACACTTAGTGGGAAGCAACTTACAATGAGCCCAAGAGGTCCAAGAGGGGATCCCGGGGGGGGGGGAGCAGTGTCACGACTCTCTATATGGGGTCAGGATGTTAAAATGCTTATTTTTAAATATAGCATACTTTTTAATGCCTTCTGAGACTCCTGACAGCAATAGGTAACTTCTGTGATAGGGCAGGATACATTAGATAGTTAGTAAATGGGCAGATTCTGGTAATTTGCATGGTACATTATGAGTAGCTTTTGTTTGCGCTGTTAGGAATTCCAAGCTACTTATGCTTGACTAAAAGTCAAGAGACCTGTATATCTAATGAACATATGCTGTATAAAACTTGCCCTTGAAAGCTTTTGAAGTGATAGTGAGTCTCTTATTCTCAGACAATCCCCACCAAATGCCTTGGGTATCCACCAAGGTTTGTGTTGTGTGTTTTTGCTCTTAAGACTTGCTGGCTTTCTGTGAAAGGCAAGCCTTTTTCATCCTATAGTTTGATAACAGCACTAAGGGAGATGATTCCTTCTCCAGTGTACATAGTATGCTGTATTTTGAAGTAGGTGTTATTGATCAGATTTCTTATGTCATGTGCCTGCCTTCTTTGTGTTTTCCCTCAACTCTCCAGGTGCACCCAGACAATGAAGCCTGGACCTGTTTTGAGCAATCTGCAAGCCTGGATATCAAATCTTTCTTTGGCTTTGAAAGCACAGTGGAAAAGATTGCCATGAAGCAATATACCAGCAATATTAAAAAGGTGGGCTTATACATTTTGGGCTCATAAATTGTAGGTGTCTGACTTGCTGGTTCAGTTCTGTTGCCACTTCTGAGTGGCATTATGTAATTGCTCTCATTCTCTGCTAGTGACATGTACTTGTCTGGACAATATGGGCTGTTGGAACAGAAGTGCCTCAGAATGCATGATTCAGCATTAAATATTAACTGATGTCTCTACCAGTACCAGTGGTAAATCACAGGGCATCAGACTCTCCCAAGTACAAGTGTGTGAGTGTAAGTGCTGGTGGTCCAGTTATCCTTGCTATAGGACACATCTTTGTGGTGGGGTGGGGGGATTAAATCAAGAGATTGCCACTTAAGTATGCAATTTAAGTCTCCCCAAGGATAATTAATGCCCAGTGGCAGGTATGATCTGACTAGCAGCACTTGAAGTAGGCAGATTAGAAATTGCTGACCCTAAGGAACTTGAGAAAAAGAAGAGACTAGAATATTAAATTCCCAGGTCCACTATTATAGGGGTTACAGTTACCCACATTATGTCAATGATATAAAACATAATTTCTCTTTGATGTAGGCTACCCTATACTATTGGCAGAAAGTATGTATTAAGTTGAATGAGAAAATGACTAGGAGCAGGCACCATGCCTTCTAGTTGCATCAAGGTGCACTTAAACGTATACCAAAAATGAGTCAGGGAAGATGTTCTGCTTCTCCTAATGTCTGCTTATGTGTGGAGGAGGGGGGCTTGCAATATGCCTTCTCAGAATCAAGGTGCTAGGTTTATTCTTCCCTACATTATTCATGTTTCAGTGCTGGTGAAGAGAAGAATAAGGACTAGTAATCAATTGTGGAATTCTAAGACTAGACATGTTTTTTTTCAGAATTACAAGCTATTGGTACTATTTCCTAGAATTGCTTGTACATTGACTAAATAACTACCTTGTTTTTAAAGGGCAAAGAAATAATAGAGTACTACTTGAAGCAGCTAAATGAAGACGGAATAAAGTTTATTCCTCGTTGGACTCCACCTGTCAAATTTATGTCTGAGCACAGTGTATCTCGTGTAGGAAGGCCACTCTCTTCTGCTGTCAGCGTACCTGATGCTACGGAGGGACTAATCGCTAAGGAGATTGGTGTTTGTAACAGTGCATCAGATCTGATAGCGGGAACACCTGATGGTGGGTGGTTTGCTAATATTGATTTTTCTGTTTTTTTCCCCTTCTGCGAACAGCTGGTGGGGGGGGGGTAGAGTAAAGAACAAAGTGGGAAGGATTAAACACAATCTTCCTAGTACCATAGATAACATAATTACCACCCCCCACTGCATTAAAGTAAAAAAAACAATTAGGAGGTCAGAGAGCTCCCATGTACTATGTAGTGTAGTCCTCTGTCTTCTAAAGATGCAAGCATGAAGTCTCTGCAGCTTCTGTAAACACCCACCTTATTTTAAGTGGCATTAAATAAAGTATATAGGCAATTATTGAATTTCTTTATCTGTCTGGGGAAAAAAGAATATTCGTAGCTCTTGAATCTTTTATTGATTGAGGACTTGAGTGGTAATAGGTTGGAATATCTGGTATTGTTGGAACGATTTGGAGGTCCCAAATACTAGAATTGATAGAGGTTAAAGGATCACTAAAGCTGACTTCATAAAGTCAGATACAGCAAGGGGCCTAACTACACATTCTCCCTAGGTCCATTCAGTTGGACGTGCACCTGTAGTTTTGTGCTTGGGAGTCATTTCCCAGGCATGTGCAGGCCTGATTAAGATTAAGAACATGGAGAGTATTACAACCCTTGATCCAGGCCTTTCATTTTTCTATGTTTCTTTTTGCTATAGAACAAGTCCTTTAGGCTGGAGGGCTGTGAGCCACCTCCACTTTAGGAATGTGAGATGAAGTGGATTCCCCTCCCCTTTTTTATACACAGGGTCCTTTAATCTTTAAACCAGAGATCACAGCAGATAGCATCAAGAGCCCTTTTTCTGGATCCTATAGAGTTTGCTGTGGTTTGTATGTTTTGATGAAAACACAGGAGCCAAGAGTAACAAACATGCTTAATTTTATTAACTAGATGGGAAGGCATTAAATGTCACACTAATTCAAGATTTCATTCAGCTTTCAAATGTGATTGGTGATTGGTCCAAGCTGCATGGTGAAGAAAAGAGGGTGGGATCTTCCCCTGTACAACACATTGAGATAGTGTTTATGCCCCGCTGCCCCATTTTCCTGACCCTAAACTGCCATGGGGTAGTGCTGTTTGCCCCACTGGGGAAACCAAAAAGGTACGAAAAGTACCCCGTCAGTACACAGAGAGTTCTCAACAGGATTTATAGAACCCCTGGTGCCATTTCAGGCCTGGAAAGCAGCCTGGGACAGAAGGCTGAAGCCTTTTCTCATACACCACCGTTCTGATCTGCATCTGAATTGAGTTCCCAGTGGTGAACTCACAAGCACATGTGAATTGCGAATGTGAATGGCAGAAGCCTCGGGAAAAACATAATGTATAGCCAGGCCTGAAGACTTGTAAAGGGCAGTTGACTTCGCAAATGACAAGTGCTTTAAGTTCCAAGTACATGCACAGAAACCTATTTGTTAATTGACCTAGCAATCAGTGCCTCTAATAGCATTGCGTAAATACCGTTACAGACAAGCTAGATGCTGATTACATCAAGAGGTATCTCGGTGATCTGACACCACTTCAGGAAAGCTGCCTCATCAGGCTTCGACAGTGGCTCCAGGAAACACACAAGGGCAAAGTAAGAATTCACACTCCTGCTTGGCTTCCTGCCTGTCAGAAAAGTGCAAACCATTGAAGATGGTCTGGCAGAATGTCAGAATGTGGGACAACAATTTCTACATAAATTAGCCTTGAACTATTTTAAATCCAATACCTTTAGTTATTGTGTACTAAAAACGTCTTATCTTTCAGTCTAGTTTCCATTGTGTGTAGACTGCATGCTTTCAGACCTAAAGAAAACAAAGCTTTGGCTTGGCAGCCCAGAGATGATTTGGTATGCTTAAGGTTATGAAACCAAAACAAATCAAACAGTTCTTATGATGTCCCCTTAGGGGATTTATTGTGTGTCACCAAGACTTGTTATAAATGAAACCTTGGCCATTATCATTAGTTTAGGGTTTGTCTTGCTGTGCAGTGTGTCTGAGAGGATGGTAGAACACATATTTGGGCAGGTGGTTGATAATTTATAAAATGTTGGTGCAAACTGATGTGATTAGTTTAAAAGCCATCAGAGGCCATATAAATTGGCTTTACATCTAGCTTTTCCACGGATATGAAAGTTCTTTTTGTCTTTCCCCCCTATTTTCTGTGACACATTGCTTATAAAGCATGAAGTGTCTGTCTTAAGGTTAACTCACAGTGAGACTGTAGACTTACAAACTCCTTTCCCTTCCCCTCCCCACAACATACACCCTGTGATGTAGGTGGGGCTGAGAGAGCTTTTTTGAGAACTGCTCTCAGCCCCACATACCTCACAAGGGTGTCTGTTGTGGGGAGCAGAAGGGAAAGGAGTTTGTAAGCCGCTCTGAGACTCTGAGTGAAGGGTGGGGTATAAATCCAATCTCCTCCTCCTCCTCTTTTTCTCCCCCCCCCCCGCAGTCTCCCTTTCTCTGCTACCTGGGTGAAGGATAGACGTTTCTGCATGCCTTTGTTTCTTGATGTATTTTTGTAAGGCAGGTCACCAATGTTCCCTCTAAGCTGCAGAATCTCATGAGCCAAAATTCTAGCCAAAACACCTACTAGGAGTAAAGTTGTGAACAAATCCATTATTTTTAAAATTAATTTCAGTTTACAAACATAAAATACAAACTATCATTTGTATTACAAATCAAAGAAGGAACAAAGGGGAGGAAAGCAAATAGATGGGGAGAGAGGAGTGGAAGGAAGAATAGATGGGGAGAAAGAAGAGAAAGGCAGACAGGCAGGAAGGAAGGAAGGAAGGAAGGAAGAATAGATGGGGAGAGACAAACAGAAAATCAGAAAGACAGAAAGAAAAACGATAAGAAGGAAGAATAGATGGGGAAAGAGGGGAGAGAGACTAAAAAACAATAGGAAGGAAGGGAAGACAGACAAAAAGAAAGACAGAAAGAAAAACGATAAGAAGGAAGAATAGATGGGGGGAAAGAGGAGTGACAGACTAAAAAACGATAGGAAGGAAGGGAAGACAGACAAAAAGAAAGACAGAAAGAAAAAGCCAAGGAAGACAGGCAGAAAAAACAGAAAGAAAGGCAGGGGGGCAGGCAGCCATTACAAGCCTCCGTATCTCTCCCAAGCAGGGAGAAGCAAAAGGGAGCCCTGAAATGGCTTCCCGCCCTTTAAAGCAAACAGCACCCTGTGTCCACCTGTCAGCTGTTCGCTTTAAAGGGTGGAAAGCCATTAGAAGCCTCTGTTTCGCTCCCCCCACCCCCAGCTTCCAAGCAGGGGGAAATGAAAGGGAGTCCTGAAATGGCTGGCAGCTCCCCCTCCCTTCCTCCGTGGGGAGGGGGGAGGAGACCTCGGCGGGTGCAGGGAGAGGAGGCTTGGATTTGTGCATCTCCTATGCGATTGAGGGGCCGGGCTGCTGCACAATGGCAGCCCTGGGGAGTGCTGGGGGCTGGGAATTGGTGTGCCAGCCCAGGGTGGTGCAGCTTCAATCAGAGAGCTGTGGTCAGATTGTTTAGGTGAGCATGTAAAAAGTTATTCGGAAACACGTATGGTATATATGGTACATAGCATATATGGTACATAGCAAAGAGTTTGCATTGGTGATTGCTTCCTACAACTGATTGTTCAGTTGTAGCATACATGCAGTTGCTGCTCTGTAATGTGTGAAGCTGCCCATGAGACTAAGAACTGCCTGTCAAAGGCTGCTTACTAAACATTTGTGATGTGTTTTGAATACAGGTCCCCCAAGTCCAATTGGTACTGTTGAGCTGCATTAACTTGAACCCGAATGTATAATATTAAAAGTTACAGTATTCTGTTTTCAGAATAACTTGGATCATTTTACTTAAATTACAAATTCAGTGAATGTTGGCAAGTTTTCCACCACAAATTCCTCTTCTCTCCTTTTGAAGCTCTTAGGGAGATATGACTGTTCTTTTTCTCTTTCTGGTCTGATCCATTTCTGTCATCCTATTGTAAGCCATCTTGATTACTTTTGGCTTTCCATTGTTCCATACTTCAGAAAAGTACCATATTTTATTTTTATTGAAACCATTGTTTATATCAGGAACAGTAATAGGAAAATAAATGGATTGGATTAATCATGAATGAAGTAGATATTGCAGAGATGATCTTTGCTACCTTTTCCTTCTTCTTGCAGCTCTCCCAAAAGCTTTTCTTCAAACAGTGTGAAATACACTGGAGGTGGGGGGCTGAAGGTGGAGTTAGGTAGAAATTGGCCTTTGCTTTTGCATGAGCTCCTGTTCATGCAAGGGTCTGCTTCATGCACTGTTTTGTGAATAATCTCATTTAGCCCACTTGCTGTACCACTAAAGGAAACTATGAAAATGATAGAAATATCTAAGGTAAATGTTCGTGCACCAGGGAGTCATGCTATCTAATCTATATTTTTCAAAACGTCTCCAAAGTACTTTCGAGTAGGAATGGGCACAAACTGCTTCACGAAACAAAGTTCAGACTGAATTTTGCCCAGTTCGAGGCTTGTGAGCTGTAACTGCTCCTTGGAAAAAACTCCAAGCTTTTGGACGTGGCTCGGAGCAGCCGGGAAACTGGAAACCTCCAAGAAAGTCTGGTGCGAGAATGTTAGGTGACCGTGGGTGTGGTGACATTTTCCAGCCTTGGAAAAACAGAGACCCTCCAAATCCTGACAGGTGTTGGTGCTCACCCATAATGAAATTCCCTTCCCATTAGTTGCAGTGGGAGAGGGAGATTGATATAAGTGTCAGATGAGCATGTACTCCCTTTTTTGGTGCTGCGTTGTTGTGTGGAGAGGGTCAAATTAACTTAGTGGCAATGCGAAAGAGCTTTGTCCTAGGGTGTGGTGGGGGGATTGCTTGGGGAGATTATTAATTCAGGGGCTCTGCTATCCCTTCTGGTCCTGTGTGCTGTGTTCCCTATTTTTTCCTGTTTATTCGATTACAGCCCAGGGTGGGAAAACTGGAACTGAATTCCTGTTTGCTATATCAAGCATTTTTGTACAGCAGGAGTCTCCTGCTGCCTGCTTTCTTGGTGGTCTCCCTTCCTTTCTCCCCTCATTTTATCCCCTCCCCATTTGGGTTTCGGAGGGGAGGGCTTCAATTTAGTTCTCTGCTACTTCCTCCCATGCACACACTAGGCTGCCATTTGTTTTGGGGCCAGTTTGGTGTAGTGGTTAAGAGTGCGGACTCTAATCTGGGATGGCTTCCCCACTCCTGATGCTGGTGTGACATTGGGTCTCAAGTTCTCTCAAGAGCAGTCCTCAAAAGAGCTCTCTCAGCCCCACCTGCCTCACAGGGTGTCTGTTGTGGGAAGGGAAAAGAGACTGTAAGCTGCTCTGAGACTCTGAGTGAAGGGCAGGGGATAAATCCAGTCTCCTCCTCCTCCTCCTCTGTTTGTCATTTCCTCGGTGCTGACCAATGTTCCCTCTAAGCTGTGCTCCCTTCCTTTCTCCCCTCATTTTATCCCCTCCCCATTTGGGTTTCGGAGGGGAGGGCTTCAATTTAGTTCTCTGCTACTTCCTCCCATGCACACACTAGGCTGCCATTTGTTTTGGGGCCAGTTTGGTGTAGTGGTTAAGAGTGCGGACTCTAATCTGGGATGGCTTCCCCACTCCTGATGCTGGTGTGACATTGGGTCTCAAGTTCTCTCAAGAGCAGTCCTCAAAAGAGCTCTCTCAGCCCCACCTGCCTCACAGGGTGTCTGTTGTGGGAAGGGAAAAGAGACTGTAAGCTGCTCTGAGACTCTGAGTGAAGGGCAGGGGATAAATCCAGTCTCCTCCTCCTCCTCCTCTGTTTGTCATTTCCTCGGTGCTGACCAATGTTCCCTCTAAGCTGTGGAGTCTTGTGAGCAAAAATTCTAGTTTGTGACCTACTGGCATTAAAGTTGTGAGCGAGCGATTTGGCTGCTGCATATATTAGTTTGCTCTGAGCTAAGACAGAAATGTGTGAGCCGGAGGCTTAAAAACCTGTGAGCTAGCTCACACTAACTCACACTGGTGCTGACTGTGTTCCTCTCTACTTGAAATCCCCCCTAGCTAACTGTTTTTTATTTTTTGGGATATTATCTTTGTTTTTAAGCCTGGCTCCCTGCCCCCAGCCTGTCTTGGGGGACTGTGTGTGCAGAGTCACTGGGGTACCTTCCCTATACTTCCAGCTTTCTGTTTCAACCCCTCTTCCTTTTCTGCTTCTATTTTGTGGGTTAAGTTAGTGTCTAGAGATACTGTGGTGATTTAACTTGACTCCCAGTTACACATTTCAAACCCCACCAACTTCTATTTGGGCATTGATCTGTGTGTCCAGAGCTGCTGGGGTGATTTCCTTGTGCTCCCACCTTTCCATTTCAAGGCCCCCCCCCATATGCTTCTGTTTGGGTTTCCAGCTGCGAGTCCACATTTCCTGGGGTGACCTTTGTTGCCAGCCATAGTTTTCAACACCTGTTCAGCGGGAGTGAATTTTTCACACCTGTCCCTGGCGTGGGTGGTGTCTGGTGGGGTCAAGGTGGTGTCCTACACTTGTCTGTGCTACAGCCAGGCATACAGACCAAGGTACTGGGTTCCTTGTCTGAGGCCCCATATTTCTTGACATACTCCCCCTACTCATGAGTGAATTTTTCATACCTGTCCCCGGCAGTGTCCGGTGGGGTCAGGGCTCCGACCCACACTTGTCTGTGTGCCACCGCCAGGCAGACAGACCCAGCTACTGGGTTCCTCATCTAAGGGCCCATATTCAGATATACACTCTCCTTGTTGGGAATGAGTTTTTCACACCTGTCCCCTTCTGGCTCTCCTTTCGAGACACCTCCCCACCCGGTCTGCTTCTCTTTGGGGTGGCAGCCATGGGGATAGTCTTAACTGTGGTTACAAACTGATTGATGTCACCGCTTGAGTCGTGGTGCCATTCTCTGTTGGGAAGAGGATACTGATGGTGGTGGGGGTGATGGTGGTGCTGTGGCTTTCTTCCCTTCCCTGTCACAACTTTCCCAAACCATGCTGTTTCTGCCTTAGTTGGTGTGTCCCTGTATAATGCTCCCCGGCCTGACACCAGGAAGCAGCTTTGCTCCATATCTCCTCAAACCATTAGTGTCAGGACATGGTGTCAGTTCCAGTCATCTGCATGGAGGTACTTCTGCACTCTGGGGAGCGAACCATGAGTGGTGGAGTGCCTGGTACGCCATGCCTGTGTTCCCAAAATGGGACCCAAAACACTTGGCCAGCACTATTCTCCCTCTGAGAGGAGGACATCTTGCTGGGTGTTTCCCACCCTATCCTTAGGGAGGCAGGAACCAAAACTTCACTTCCTGTCCTCTAGGTGGGACATGCCCCTCGGTTCAATTATGGAACTCCAAAAAGCAGTAAACTTTTCAAACAATCTAGATAACTGAACCACTACAATAACCAGAACAAGGCATTAACTACAACAAGAGGAAAACAGGGACAGGAAGGAGTATCCTGAAAAGAGAGAGATAGAGTAGGCAGACGTGATGATGAGATGGGAGGGCCCAAGATGTCCTCCTCATCTCCTGCCATGGCCAGGAAGACAGACCCAGCTACTGGGTTCCTTGCCCAAGGGCCCATATACAGATATACACTATTCCTGGTTGGTAGTGGATTTTTCATACCTGTCCCCTGCTGGGGTCATGTCTGGGAGGGCCAGGCCTCAAACCCACACCTGTCTGTCTGCTACAGCTGGGCACTTAAGTTCCTTTTTCTTTGCTTGAGGAACCGCAGGACCCCCCCCCCCGATCTTCTAACCCCTCCTCTGCACCAGTTGTGCACCCACCAGGACACATCTCTCTGAGGCCCTTCCAACACCTTGGGGAGATGGATTCTGGGCATTGATAGCCACTCTGTCTGGGGCAACATTTAATGCTTGCTGTGTCTCCCAACTGCCAAAGCCTCCTCTCACAGTCTTCCCCCCCAAGACTCACTGCTCACAGTCTCCTGCCCACCCACTGCCACCTACTGACCACCTTAGACGTGGACACACTGGAGACACGGTCATTGTTGAAGAGCTGCCAGAACCTGGCTATCCTGACTGGCCAAGTCCAAGAACTACCTCATAGCCCAAGACCTACCCAATGAACCGTTAGTAATCTCACATCACACCCAACTCCTGCTCTTCCTCATAGCCCAAAACCCACCTCCTGAAGAAAAATCCTCTGTTCAGGATCCATTCATTCCATCAGTGGGACTTGTGCACACCTTTCTCCAGCCGTGGTGGTGTTTGTTAGACTCGGGAGTGTCAGCCACTCATCCCTCTGCTGGAAGGGAGCATGGAGGATTAGCCACTGTGTGTGGTTGTAAACTCTGTTCTGCACCCAGAAAGTCCCATACCTTGTCGCTCGAGTTAGGACACAACCATTCTATGCCATCATGGTTTTTTTTCGGATTCAGATCATGCTCCATGTTGGGAGTAGCCTGACATGTCTGTCCACTGTTAATGGAATCTTCCTTCAGTGACATCACTGTTGTGAAGCCCAGATCGTCTACCCTATTGCTGACTACCAAATGTGTCCCTCCAGTCTGCCTGCTGGCAGCTTGAGTGCTGTCTGGGGCCAAATCCTCTGGTGGGATTTCAGTATGAACACTGGCTTGTTGAATTTGCCAATGTGAGCCACGAATCATCTGTTCCATGCTTCTATTTTAGAATCATAGAATCATAGAGTTGGAACTCCAGCGTCATCTAGTCTTAACCCCCTCCACAAGGCAAGAAATTCACAAATACCTCCCCTCCACACCTGTAGGGACTGCTGTTCCATGCCCAAAAGATGACAAAAAAACCTCCAGGATTGCTTCCTAACCCCAAAGTGGCAATCAGCATTTCCCTGTGTGTATAAAAAAGGGCCACAAGAACTAAGCACTGAGGCAACCCTTCCTGCTCTCCCTCTCATGCTCTGCTTAAGTTCACAGAATCCACATTGCTGTCAGATGGCTATCTAGCCTCTGTTTGAAAACCTCCAAAAGAGAGCCCACCACTTCTTGAGGAAACCTGTTCCACTGAGGAACTGCTCTGTCAGGAAGTTCTTCCTAATGTTTAGCCGAAAACTCTTCTGATTTAATTTCAACCCATTGGTTCTGGTCCAACCTTCTGGGGCAACAGAAAACAACTCCACACCATCCTCTAGATGACAGCTCTTCAAGTACTTGAGGATGGTTATCGTATCACCTCTTAGTCGTCTCCTCTCCAGGCTAAACATTAGGTTAGCTGTGTGTTCAGACTCCAGAGGTACTTGCGTGGCTTCCCTGGACCATCAAGTGTACATTTCAATCCTCCCATAATTATTCTCTTTGGGGTGCCAGATGTTCACCCACACTTTAAGGGGTGACCTGTTCTGCTGGCTGTTCTTTCCTGAGACCACACACATGTTTGACTCTCATTGGGGTGCATACTGTCATGGGCATGGATGAGGAGGAGCTGAGAGAGCCTGCAGAAACCACAGCTGGCCCCTCTGAAGCAGCAGAGGAGGATAGCTGGCAAGTGCTTGTAACAGCCGTCTTCACACCTGGCTCAGATAAGAAGGAAGGAACTGCAAGCTGAAAGTCTTCCTGACTGACCCCCATGTGTGACTCGTTTAAGGGACTGACTCCGGCAAAACTTAGCAACCAAGTGAAGAGAGGCCAGGCTACAAGGGAGGCGCTCAGCTAGCCCAGAGTTTTAACAGGAGCCTGGGTGATTGTGCAGCTGGCTAATTGGTAACAGCATTTAACTCCACACTCTGGGCAGTACTCTTTGTGGAAGCAACAAGTCAGCTTCATGCTGCTGGCATCCACTCTGGCTCAGCTTTTGCACCTAGACCTTTGGACCCCTTGGCTTTGGACTTAGCTCTGTGTTCCTGGCTCCTGACCCTGGCTTGGCTTTTGGACTACGTTTCTGGTTAGTGATTTGGACTTGGCTCTGTGTTTCTCGCTCCTGACCCTGGCTTGACTTTTTGGACTTCCTGGCTCCTGACCTTGGCTTGTTCTGGACTCCCTTTGACTGTCACCCCAGCCTGTGACACAAGCTGTACATAGACTATTCCTGGGTGACCTGTAGTGTCAGCTCTCTCTTGTCCTTTTATCCCATGATTTTTGAGCTTACTAAGGAGCCTTTGATGAGGAACTTTATCAAAAGCTTTCTGGAAGTCAAGGTAAACAACATCTATTGGGTCCCCCTTGTCCACATGTTTGTTCACCCCCTCAAAGAACACTAACAGGTTAGTGAGACAAGATCTTCCCTTACGGAACCCATGCTGAGTCTGCCTCAGTAGGTTTTGTTCATCTATGTGCCTACTAATTCTTTCCTTATTAATGGTTTCCACCAATTGACCCAGTATTGACGTCAGACTGACTGGCCTGTAATTTCCCGGATCTCCTCTGAAACCCTTATTAGAGATGAGAGTGACATTAGCTAACTTCAAATCCTCAGGAATGGAGGCAGATTTTAAGGAAATATTACATATTTTTGTAAGGAGATCCAGAAGTTCACATTTGAGTTCTTTCAGAACTCTCGGATGTATGCCATCTGGGCCTAGTGATTTATCAGTTTTTAAGTTGTCTATCAGTTTTAGGACCTCCTCTCTTGTCACCTCAATCTGACTCAGGTCTTTCAACACCCCTCCCGAAATGAGCGGTTCTGGAGTGGGCAAGCACTTCTCATCTTCCACAGTGAAGACAGAGGCAAAGAATGCATTTAGCTTCTCAGCCATTTGGTCATCCAAGGGCCCCACTGCCTCCCTGGCTGGTTTCCTGCTTCTTAGGTATTTGAAGAAACTTGCAAGGCATGTTGTGGGGCCTCCTGGGGAGGGGCTCTGTGAGTTTGTTGCCTGTAAGCTCATCACAGGTTGGTTCTATGCTTTCCCAAACCGGTGCTAAAAATCTCCCTAGAAAACAATTTCTCAGGACACGTTGTTTGGCGCTATCAACTTTTTCGGGGGCCTGTAACTCGTCCCCCCCCCCGAGTCCAATCCTCACCAAACTTCGTGGCCAATCCAAGAAGAGTCTTCTGGAGTTGCAGTGCAATTTTGGGACCTCTAGGATCCTGGGGGCAATCCCTCTTTTTGAACTGGTTCAGTTCACAAACTTGGCCAGTTTGCGAACCATGTTCACAAACTGGTTCAGAAAACATTGGTTCATACACTTGAACCCGAACCAGGCAAAAATGGTTTGTACCCATCTCTACTCTTTAGTATGGTTGTTGTGTTTAGTTGATATGTTAGCTAGATTAATTTTTTTAAATAGTGCTTGATTTAAAAAGTGCCTCCAGTAAACTGGTTTTGATGCAAGAATGAACTGTGGTTTGCAAGAACCATCTTAAAAGAGTATTTTATGCTGTTCATGGGTATAATTCAAAGGAAAAGAGAATTCTTTGTGTTAGAATATGTATAAAAACTATGCAGAACGTATTGTTAGTTAATCAACTAATTATTCAGGTAATCATTCCAAATGCCTAGTTTTTGATACAGAGTAAAAAGTGCAGATGAATGGCAAATGCTTTCCCTAGTGCTAGAAACTAACTGTCCATTATTTTTATAGATTCCCAAGGATGAACACATTTTAAGATTCTTGCGTGCTAGAGATTTCAACATTGACAAAGCCAGAGAAATTCTCTGCCAGTCTTTAACTTGGCGTAAACAGCATCAAGTGGATTATATTCTAGACACTTGGAACCCTCCTCAAGTACTGGAAGATTATTACGCAGGAGGTTGGCACCACCATGACAAAGGTATAGTAACAGATTTCTAGAGTGCCTTTTATAGGGGACTTGGAGACCTTACACATGAGAAGGCATTTTGTCTGCTCAAGTATGATTCTTATTCAAGCATGGCTGTAATGGGACCCAGTCTCAAAAGCTGGACCCTTATTCCTCCTTGACTGACCATTCTGGCTTAGTATATGCCAGCTTTTGAGACTGGGTCCCATTACAGCCATGCTTGAATAAGAATTATTCGAAATGCGGCATCAGGTATCCGGATTACGCGTCGGCTTTTTATGGCTCAGAAAATTTGATGACTTGCACTCCAATTTGGACTCTGATATTGCTTCTATGCTGGAGTAGATACATGGAAAGACTGTAGACTGAAGACACTGTTTCTATTATGCTTTATTATTGCACTTTGGCCAATTGAGTGATATTTGCTGTTATGCTTATTTGATATATATTATATTTCACTGTTATGCTTAATTGATTATTATATACTTGTTTATTTGCTTGTGTGTTCATTTTTTGCCAGTGGTGTTTTCTTTTTTGCTTCTTTTATACTTAGCAATGCCCTTCCTAACCTGTGGATTGCATTCTATTTGGGCTTCAATTAGTGTGGTCTTAAATATCTTCCAAGCATCCTCTAGGGATTTGACTCTCCTATGTTTCCCCCTACAGCTTCCTTTTTACTATCCCCCTCATTTCTGTAAAGTTTCCTCTTTTGAAATCAAATGTAACAGTTTCGGACTTTAGGGGTAAGTTTCCATTGACCTGAATGCTGAACTTAATAGCATTGTGGTCACTGTTCCCAACTGATGTAACAACTTCTACATCTATTACCAAGTCTTTGAGACCCACTCAGAACCAAGTCCAAGTTCACTACCCTTCTGGTTGGCTTTGTGACCAACTGTTTCAGTGCAGTCATTTATGATGTCTAGGAATCTCATTTCTACAGTATGATTCAAGCACATGTTTACCCAGTCGATATGAGAGTAGTTGAAGTCTCCCAGGATAATAACATTATCTGCTTTAGTCACCTCCCTTATTTCCTTCTCCATCTTAAGATCAGCCTCAAGGGTTTGATCAGGTGGGCGATAGTATACCCCCACTTTTAAGTAACTTTAGGGCCTTGCTATATCGCTACTGTTAATTCCCCTGATGTTTTCTAACTTATTTGATTCTATGCCCTCTTTGTTGTATAATGCACCACTACCATGAACCTGTCCCTCCCTGCCCTGCCTATGGAGCTTATCCCCAGGAATGACTGTATCCCATCGATTTTCTCCATTTCGCCATGTTCCTGAGATACCTACTATATCTAAATTGGCATTGAATACCAAGCACTCCAGTTCCTTCATCTTGGCTTGGAGACTTCTAGTATTGGCATATGGGCAGCTATAATGGACTTAATATGGGCAGCTATAATATGTTTCCCTCTCCAGTAAGCCTCGCCTCCCTTGGCCCCTTAGTTGCCACACATGGCCCTCAGTCAATATCAGGCCCTCACTCCCAAGTTGTCTTACACTCCTGTCAATATTATCCTGAGTGAGCTTCCGGTTTAGGCGCTCTAATGGCGAACGCGTCTCTCGGGATCTCCCAAGGACATGATCTTGTTCCGAAGCTCTATGGGTCATATTCAGAATACATAAAGAAAAATAATCTGCCCGGTGAGGTGGTGATTAGATTCTCCCAAAGACAAGCGAGGGACCAGGTTTTAAAGGCAACAAATGGAACTACCCTTAAAATTGATGGCAGCGAGACATGAGTTTTGAAAGTTTGAGTGTGAGCAACTGGCCCTCGTCCCAGCTCCTGTCAACCCAGTGGTTCGAAAGCGCCGATTAAACACCTATGCGCAAGTAGATGAAATGGGGACCTACCTTAGAGGGTAGGGGGCACCCTCCCCCGTCGAGGGGGTTGTTGGAGTGTCAAAAGACCAGTGGAACAGCGAGGCGGTGAGCGAGCGGCTGGAAGATGGCGTCCCGACACAGCTCAAAAGATGGGAGGACTCCCCACCACCACCACCAGGAAAATAGACTTTTAAAAGTTGAGAGGGGGGCGAGGCGAAGATTTGTTTAAGCGCATTACCTTTTGGAAGAGAGTTAAAAGCGGGCCAGAGGGAGCCATCCCTGGGCGTTGTAGCACGAACTTTTGAAGTATAAACAAAGTTGAAAAATGGCGATGCAGAAAGAGAGAGATAAGAAGCCTTTGGAAAGGCAGACAAAGAAGACTGGAACTTCCTGTCCGAGTCCCTCCCTTTCTGGAACTGCTGTCAGTCAAAAAGAAAGTGATCTTGCGCGCCATCTCCTGGAGGAACTGCAGAAAATAAACCGAAAGCTTGATAATATGGAATGTGCCTTTGGAGATCAACAGAAAAAATTGACTGAGACTGCAGACAAGGTAGATGACATCGCAAAGAAATGTCTGGTGTCAACGGAAGAAATACAGAGTGTTAAGAAGAAAGTCATTAAGGTGAAAAAACAGCAGATGAAGCAAGAAAATAAATTATTAATGCTTCAAATGGAAAAGTCAAACCTGATTCTCCGATTTCAAGGACTGAAAGAGGAAGAACGAGAGGACCTCAGAGAAATTCTGGCAATAGCGTTGGAACCACTGATTGGCAGCGAAGCGGAAAAAAATAAAAGAAGAGATGGATTTGGCTTACAGAGCCTATTCCAACTATACCAAGAAGAATAAGCTGCCAGCAGAAGTGGTTGTGAAGTTTACTAAACAGTATCTCCGGGATCAAATTTTAAAAGCAGTATCAGCGGTAACCTTGAAAATTGGAGAACAATCAATTCGAGTTTTGAAAGATGTCCCATTTGAAATTAGAATGAAAAGAAAAGAATATAAAGGATTGACTTTGTTCTTACAAAAACATCAAATCAGTTACAGGTGGTTAACGCCAGAAGGATTCTATCTTGAAGGCAAGGGACTTTTTGAAAAGGCATGCCAACACAGAAGAAGAAGCAGAACTGGCTGAGTGGATGTCGGGAAGAAGCGATGAGAACAGCAGCTCGGAAGGAGAGGTGAAAGAAGAAGAAGAAAAAGGAGCAGCCAGAGGTCCAAAGTATAATTTGCGTGAGAATAAAGGAAAGCACTACAAGGTTTAAGGACTTATCTAGATGTGCCAAAGAAGAAATACTAACTCCAAAAGGACTTTACTAACATACTAATTGCCTGATTTGAAAAGAATAAGAAGAAACAGATGTTTCTCCAATCGCAGAAGAAGCCTGAACTTTGATGTGGACTTTAACCTTAAAACTAACAGATTAATATACCAGTAATTAATATCACTCAACACTTTTCTTTGTCCCGCTATATACCCTCCCTATTTTTTTTAAAAAAAGCGGAATTTCTCTCCTCTTTAGGAGAGGGAAATAAAATATTTAAATTAAAAAAAAGAAAGATGGAAACAGACGGTGGTGAAAGAGGCGGAGTCGGAAGACATGAGGAGCGTGGACGGCGCAGGCGCGGCGGAGCCGAAAGGACAGAGCTGAAGCCACGCCGGAGCGCGATGCACGTTGGAGGGGCCCTGCCGACTCACCACAAGAAAAAAAGACCATTGGAAACATGGAGCCAGAGACAGCCGAGACATCAAGCCGACGAAAGCTGACCCGGGAATTAGATCGTTCAGTACCTCCACTGGGTGCCGGTAGGGATTGTCCCCACCCCGTGTTTCTGTGGCCATAGATTAGGTATAAAGTCAATTGTAAGCCGCTCAGAGACCCCTTAGGGGGTTCGAGCAGGGTAATAAATTGAAATAATAAATACATAAATAATAAATATAAGACATTCCCTTTGAAATAAGGAAAAAAAGGAGAAAAATACAGACTTAGCTTTGTTTTTACAAAAGAATAACATCCCTTACAAATGGATCCTGCCTGAAGACATACTCTTCAAATTTAAAGATAAGAGGGGAAAAATTGACTCTGTCATGAAAGCACGTGAGTTCTTGCAGCAACAACTTGGACCAACGGGGGAAGCCGATGAGGACAAGGGAAGCGATGATGAAACACCTACTGAAGAAGACTTGGATTTGGAATGTGGGGCGGCTGCCCACAAACAAGGATAATTGCGGGAAAGAAGAAGGAAAAAATGAAATGCTAATTTTCTCTGAAGCTTGTTTTCTGTTTTTTTTTAAATATTTACTCATTCTTTTGCATTGTACTTTACTAAGTCAGAATATCTGGACTTGAAGCATATAAGCGACTTTAATGATCACCTTAAATGTAACAAATTACTCTATTTGACCATATTGTAACCATTATATGACTACCACCTCTTGGGGTTTTTTGTGATTATCTTTACTTTCTCCCTTACTCAAATTATATAAAGCCAAGACGCTAGCCCAACTGTTATATGGCTCATTTATGGGGCCTCCCAGTTCCTATTTTTCACCTCTAGAAAGAGTCCAGTCTAAATTCCTAAGAACCATCTTAGGAAAAAGCTAGACTCGAGTTCCTTCTATCTGATAGAAATCCCAAGATTACCCACCAAGTAGCCAGTTTTTGTATGGTGATACTCAGATCACGGAAACCCCAAGGCAGCTAGTTAGATATAGTAGTTTGATATTAGATTAAATTTTCCTTTTAATGTTTTACTGATGTATTTTAAAATCTTGGAATTTTGTAAAGGTGTACTTCTTTTTGTATGACTGGTCTAAGGACTGTAGAAATAAACTAACTTTCTCCTGTAGTTTATAGTTTCCCCCTCCTTATCTCTTTGTAGTTTTAGAAAATAAAAAAATGTTTTAAAAAAATTATCCTGAGTGTATATGCAGTCATCCCTTTGGACTGACTTATCCCAAACCGGAGGCTTCTCAGCTCCTGTGGACTTCTCCCCAGGATTAGTTTAAAAGTTCCTCTGCCACCTTTTTTATATTAATCGCCAGCAGCCTGGTTCCCTTTTGGTTCAAGTGAAGCCTGTCTCTTTTGTATGGGTTTGGCTTGTCCCAGAAAGTTCCCCAGTGCCTAACAAATCTAAACCTTTTCTCCCAGCAGCATTTTCTCATCCACAGACCCCTAACCTGTGCCTGTCTAGCTGCCCTGAGTGTGGAACCGGCAGCTCTTCTGAGAATGCTACCTTTGAGGTCCTGGCTTTTAACTTTCTACCACGTAACCTAAATTTTTCATCCAGGACCACACAACTACATTTCCCAATGTCATTGGTGCCAACATGCACCTGACTGCTGACTCCTCCCCAGCACTATCTATCAACCTATCCAGACAGTGTGTGATGTCTGCAACCTTTGCACCATGCAGTCAAAACACTTGTCCCAGGCCCCACTTTCTATATTCCAAATGATCAGATCACCCACTACCAGAAGCCCAGTCCCCCAGTATAAGAGGATATCGATCTGTTGCCCAAGGAAGGGGTCCCTTCTAAGGGATCACATCCCTCCGACCTTAAGACTCTTGCTCTCCACAACAGCAGAAGAGCTGTCAACATAGGAGTGGGACTGTTCTGGTAAGTCCCTGAGGGTCTCTTCCCAAAACCTCTCTCTCTGCCTCAGCTTCTCCAGTTTGGCAAACCTAGCCTCAAGGGAAAAATCCTGCTCCCTGAGTGCCACAAGCTCCATGCAGCGAGAGCACACTCACGATTTCCATCCAGTGGGTAAATAATCATACATGTGGTACTCTCTCTGCAAAACACTGGATAGCCCCCGCTCCCCTGCTGGCTTTCTACCTTCATAACTAGTTAGTGGCTTAAAGGTATCTAGAGTGATGTGAGGTTATCAAGCCTGATCCCCAAGGAAAGAGCCAGACTGCGGCTCTTTCTGCCTAGGAGGAGCCCTACAGTTCAGAGACTCACAACCACCACGTCCCAACAGCAGAGTGTAAGCCCTGCAATCAGCCCCAGGCAAGCAGACCTTGCTCAGTGAGCAACTGACCAGACAAAAGACCCAAACAGATCCAGACAAAAACACCACTCTCCAGCAGGCTACAAGCACTCAGTTGCCCTCAAACTCTGTCCTCTCACAAAGCAACCTCAGTTAATGGTCCCTAGTAGTTTAGCAGTTTAAGAAAGGGGAGGGGGAGCCACTCACTTTCCCAGCAGCTCTGTCCTGGGTTCTTTCTCCCAGCCCAGCTGGCTTACATTCATTGAAAGAGTAGTCTCCTTCAGCAGCCAACCCCTATCTTTGTTTGCTATTGGCCCAGCCTCCACTTAAGAGGCTAGGATTCTTTCTGTTTACTGAGACATCACAGGCTTGAATGCTTCTCAAGCTTTGCACACAGTTCTTGTACAAGGTGGCCCTTTGCCCTGGAAGTCAAATTTAGGTTTCCTTTACAACCTTATGGATGCATAGGTAATTATAAAAACAAAGGCCACCATGTTTTTACAAATCTAGTGGTCCATATTAATAAGGGATCTAGTGAGGCCTTAGTTTATTCATCTAAGATAATTGTTTTTATTAAGTTGTTACTGCTTTTGTCATTCAGATGGGCGCCCACTGTATGTGCTAAGACTTGGCCAGATGGATACCAAAGGCTTGGTGCGAGCTCTTGGAGAGGAAGCCTTGCTTCGTTACGTAAGTGCCTTAGATGCAGTTTGTGTATGTTTGTCAGCGAATGTGATGTTCTCAGTTTATTCAGTGTCACACTAGAAATGTGTCAGTCTCAGCAATCTATGTTAATTCTGAACATATGCCCATGATGATTCTTCAGGGGTATTCTTGAAAGGTTCAGCCATTGAAGAGCAAGTCATGTTGCTTACAAAATCTTTCTTGGTTAAACTGTTCTTCCAGCAAGAGAGTCACTTGCAATGAGCACCATTTTCTGGTATTGGTATCTTTTGATGCTGTTGGCATCACTATGGTAAATATGCATGTGATGTTTTCACAGCTGACATCATAGAGTAAAATTAGAAAATACAGTCAAAATTCAATATTGAGATTTGACAGTGTAATACTCTGCAGTGAAAAGACTCCAGCTATGTTTGTAGCAAGTTCACTAACACTGCTCAAAGATCTTGTGGTCATCAAAGCTAGGTTCTTGAGACATCACTGGCATATACTGCTGTGCTCAAATGTCATATGTAATGGCAGGGATCACTGCATAAAAATTAAAGTAGGGAGATGCTAAGCAGCCTTATGTAGAGCTTTGGTACAAGAATCCCTTGAGTACTGCCTGTAGTTACACATACTTTTTGATTTTAAAAGTAGAGCTGGAAACATTGTAGCAACAAACACATCTGTCGTCTGAAGCATTTTCCATATAAGGGATACTGACAGTTCAGGTTCTTAGATAAGCAGTGATGCTGAAGGTATTATGATGGTCTGTATGGCCCCTTCCAACTCTATGATTCTGTGATTAAAATGTGTGAAATCAGAGTATTGGCTAAATGTGAATTAAAATTGTCTACCTGCTAAGCTTCTTGCTGCTGCTGATTACTGAAGGACAACCAATTAGAACTGAAATGCAGATCATGGAAGTTGCTGTGTTTCCCATTTCTTAACCACTGCCATTCTGTGACAGCCTTTTCTGAACATCCTGGTTTCTAGCTTTCTTTTTAAATGCAGGTCCTGTCTATAAATGAAGAAGGACTGAGGAGGTGTGAAGAAAATACAAAAGTATTTGGAAGGCCTATAAGGTAAAGGAGAACAGTTATTTCTTGGAACAGAATGAGTGATAATGTGCGAAAGATGGTGAACTCCCTATGCTGAACATGCTGGCAGATTACCATGATTACCAGATTAACCAGGAGAACCAATCTGAACAGGACATGTTTGTCGTAACATGTTGTCCAGTCCTCATAGTGTCATGACCCATAAGGCTCTGGCAGGTCTCTTTTGGAATCCTTTGAAAATGACATCTGTAAAGAGACCATTTTATTGACAAATACCTCAGAAGGATAGGCTGGCAGGGCTGAGGAGGGAGAGTAATCAAGGAGAGGCCAAAGAAGCTGGAGTCTGTAGATGCTATGAACCTGCCTTACCCTTTTTAAGATGGTGAGCAGTCTGAAATTGTAAATTTATCAGGAAGGATGTGCCCTTCTTTATATTTCACATTCTATTAGCTGTTCTTGGGGTGGGGGGAGTAGAAAGAATGGAAAGACTTTTACCAACTTACCTGTTCTGAGGCATTCTGCACAAGAGGTCAGTTTATTAGCACAAACATGAAAGGGTCAAATGAAAGATCTGAGGGGCCCCCAAAGTATGAGAGCAGGTTGATTTAGGGCAGGGGTAACCAAACTTGCTTAATGTAAGAGCCACATAGAATAAACATCAGATGTTTGAGAGCCGCGTGACAGGAACAAATATTACAGACGTGTTTTTGTTGGAAAATATGCAAATTTGTTTTTTATTAACATTAAATGAGACTGCCAAAAATAAAAACAAAAGGGGTAAGGGTAAAAATAGATATTGAGAATGATATTTATTTGTCCAATTGTATTGGTAGGGTTGGGGGGGGGGGCTTTGATAATGCATTTAAAGTTAGTTGCTTTCTTTCTCTGCTCCCCTCTGCCTCAAGCCTACCCAAGAAGGGGAACACTGGCTGGGAAGGGAAGACTGATTAGGGAGGCTTCCCTAGCAGCCCTGCCAGAAGCCACACAATATGTGTGAAAGAGCCACATGTGGCTCCTGAGCCACAGTTTGGCCACCCCTGATTTAGGAGATTCATAGAAATTTTTTTTAATATTTGAGTGAAGACACTAAAGGAAATGTGAACCTCTGACTTTCAGAGGTTATTTTTGTGTGCCTTATTAATAAGCTTTGGGTAGCAGCATTATCTTTGATCACCCTGCCCAGTCTGAATGCAAAGTGACTACTCTGAGCCTGACATTGTTGCATAGTGTTTGCACTAGACTGGCTGAAAATCTCTTCCTCAGCCTCCACTAATAAGGAAGAGTTTGGGCATATGAGGTTGGATCCCACTGATGAGGGGGCCTTTTGCCGATTCTGCCATCCCACAGTAAACCTCCAGCTGTCCCCTCATGCTGTACCTGGGGGTCCTCTGTCCATCAGGAACAGAATTTGTGGGGCACTTTCAGCTGCAGCAGAAGTGTTAAGGCAGAAGTTGCACTCCACTGACAGAAATTCTCCTTTCTGCTTTGATTTTTAGCAGGATCCAAGCCATGGAATTGAGTCAGGGTCTGAAATGACTTGCTTCCATTTCCTTATTATGCTGTCCTCTTTTGATCAAAAGTCAGGGATAAGTGTTCATAATGTACAGTTAATTATGAAGAAACTTTCTATAGTTTCGGGGCCATCTAGTAGTGAAGGTCTGAAATAAAGAGTGATGCTTGAACAGATGGCACATTGTCCCTAGTGTGTTTTTTGGTATCTGCTTGCTGCTTGAGTCTTGGGAATAAATCCAGTGTTCAGTGGTGCAAATAAAACCTTGAAGATCTATGAAACAAAATTCTTCAGCATATTTGATTTCAGGGAGAAAATTTGACACATAACTTCCATACCTTAAAATCCCTTATATTTTTTTGGTGGGGGGGGCAGCTCCTGGACCTGTTTAGTAGACCTGGAGGGGTTGAATATGCGGCACTTATGGAGACCTGGTGTTAAGGCCTTGCTAAGGATCATTGAAGTTGTTGAAGCTAATTATCCGGAAACATTGGGACGGCTTCTCATTCTGCGAGCTCCCAGGGTGTTTCCAGTCCTTTGGACACTGGTAAGTTCAGTTTTCCCTTCCTTGGGATCTGTGCTTTGTATGTGGGGGCCTTGCCTGTGCTTAGAAATAGCAGAGTTCTACTTCATAGCTTTTATTTTTATAGGGTCTTTTGTTTTTGTAATCAAAACAAGAACTTCAAATAGGAAATTTGTATGGCTTGGAAGAATAGTGAATATATTGAAGCAGGTTGAGGAGTTGGCCATTGTATTAACTCCATTTTTATCTACAGGTTAGTCCATTCATTGATGACAACACTCGAAAAAAATTCCTCATTTATGCAGGCAATGACTATCAAGGTCCTGGTGGCCTATTGGATTATATTGACAAAGAAATCATTCCAGATTTTCTTGGTGGAGAATGCATGGTAGGTAAACAATTTGTATAACAGAATTATATCTGCTTTAAGAACCTAAATTACATTTGAGCTTTCATGCTCCGACTTATTTTAATCCAAACAGTATCTATGGTACAGGACAGATAGATTATAGTTCTTTAAGGATGTTATTTAAGAAACAAGATGTTCTTGAATTATATAATCAGATACAACATAATCATTGGAGTATAATTACATCTACAGCAACTGATTATTTGCCAAGAGGTGCTTAAGGTGCTTATTTGTATTGTGTTTAAATACTAGAAAGTTTGTGCAATGGGTGTAATTATGAGCTGAGAAGTCCCCTTCCTTTAAATCTCACTTTAGCTCAATAAGTAGTCTTTGGCAAGCTGTTGTCTCCTAGTCCCTCCCTTCTGCAATATAGGACCTACCTTACAAGGCTGTCTGAGAGATTATGGAGAATGTACATAGGGTACTATATAAATGTAAATCGTTAGTTTCCAGACGGTCTTCTCAGAACTCGCTGGCACACATGCCTTACCTCTCTATTTCACACAGAGCACTTACTGATGGTGTTTTCCCCCCATTGACTTTATAATTGCTGTGTGCTACCCCACACCATGCCATAGATTCATTCCGTCTCTGATACGTTTTCCTTTTAGCTGGATAACATGGACTAATACCTTGTAGAAAATTCCTGGTGGTTTGGTGTTTGCAGGATATAGCTGTTTAAATAAACTTTCAGATGGGAATTGTTCTATGTAAAAACAACTACAAAACCTTTTTTCTGCAGGTACATAACATCCTCATTTTTATCTGAAATGGTGGTGTGTTTTTTTCTCTTCTTACAAATGCTTATGAATTAGTGCCCCTCAGTAATGAATTAAACCTGCTTCCATTGAAGTTGGGGGGGGGGGTCTTTGGTATAACTTTCCAGCACATTCTTCCTGGGATGTTTCTGTCACAGTTGTCATGCTGACTCATTTCCCCCTCCCCCCCAATTACATTTTAAAGTGTGACGTTCCAGAGGGTGGGCTGGTTCCGAAATCTCTGTACCGGACAGCAGAAGAACTAGAAAATGAAGACCTAAAGCTGTGGACAGAAACCATTTATCAGTCTGCAAGCGTCTTCAAAGGAGCTCCCCATGAGGTAGGTTTCCTTACTGTTCCTTCTTGGCTCCAACTGTCTTAAGAGGAAGGACTTGACCTAGGCTGATTTATGCTAGGTTTCATGTCTGGGTCTCTTGGAGCTAGTGCAGATTTTAGCTGGCTCATTCTTGGAAAATACTTGCTTAACAAACTACACATGAACTAAGAATCTTTGCAAGTTCATAGTTCTTCCTCAGTGATCAGAAAGATTTGTGAATTTCTGGTTCATGGAGAAGGAGGCAGAAAAGGTAAGATACAATTCTTCTCCTCAGGTTTACCTCTTAGCAAGATAGGTCTTGGAGCCAATTGCTCATAAGGGGTCAACTTGCCTGAGCCATGAACAGATTGCCCGGAGGTGTGGGCTTGGGTGTCATCAATATGCTGATGATACTCAGCTCTATCTGATGTTAGGCTGCCAGTCGGACTCTGGTCCCGATGACCTTCATCGGGCATTGCAAACTGTGGCTGGTTGGCTCAGACTGAATCGGTTGAAATTAAAGACGGAGGTCTTGGGCCTGAGTCGGACCGGTCTGGGGTTGGGGCTCCCTCTCCCGGCCTTCGACGGGGTGCCGTTGGTGCCTGCGCAGGAGGTTAGGAGTTTGGGGGTGCTCCTGGACACCTCATTAACTATGGGGCCCCAGGTGGCAACCACTGCCAGGGCGGCCTTTTACCATCTGTGGTCTCTACTTAGGGCTGCCTCTGTCGCAAATCCGGAAGCTGCAGCTAGGGCAGAATGCTGCAGCCAGGCTGTTGATGGGCCTCTCTAGGCGAGACCACATCCAGCCTGGGCTGCAAGCGCTGCACTGGCTGCCGATAGCATACCGGATTCGCTTCAAAGTGCTGGTTCTTACCTTTAAAGCCCTAAATGGCCGGGGTCTGGCTTACCTGAAGGACCGCCTCTCCCCGTATGTTCCCCCAAGAGCACTGTGATCGGGGAGCCTCCATCTCCTGGAAGTTCCAGGCCCCCGAGAGGTTAAGTTTACCCCTAGTAGGGCCAGGGTGTTTTCGGTGGTGGCTCCTACCTGGTGGAACGAGCTCCCAGAGGAGATCCAGGCCCTGCAGGACCTTGTGCAGTTCCGCAGGGCCTGTAAGATGGAGCCCTTCCGCCAGGCTTTTGAGTAGGAGCCGCCGCTGCCACTATCCCACCACCGTGGTAGTGCTTCATCGTCTGCCCCTATCATGGGGGGCAAGCATCGCCTGGCAGAAGCGCATAGAACAGCGCTGCTGAGACAGCTGGCCCCCGAATTGGGTTCATTGTTTCCCATCTTGGGTGATTTACATAGGAAGATCAGAGCACCTTGATTATTGTATGGGTTTTATTGTGTTTTTAATGTTGTTTATTCTATTGTATTTTATCTATTCAACCCGTCTTCGCCGCATGTTAGCCGCCCTGAGCCGTTGGGAGGGCGGGATGCAAATCTAAAAAATAAATAAATAAAATAAAATAAACAATTGCTGGTGTTTCATTAGCAGTGATTGGAAGCCTAGGGTACCAGTTACTGTTCCTAGTCCTGCTGGAAAGGTAGGTGGGGGTGTTAAAAGCTCTAGTCTCCTAGCAGAGAACGTATGGTGAGGGGATGGCATCTATTTTCCTATTCTTGTACATTTGGTGGAACATTACAAATGAAGCCATACTTCTCCATTGGTCCTGGGAGTGGGGCAGTCTTTACTCTTGGGGAATAGGCCCCTTCTCCGGAACAGGGTCAGTTCCCTCAGACCAGTCCAGAAAGGGGGGGGGCTGTCCCCTGGGAACATCTCAGTCTCACCAGCCCTGCTGCTTGAGCAGGACCTGTTTCACAGGCACTCTGTAGAGTGCAGCGATCCAGGAATGAGAAGAAGAGAGGGAGAAGGGAGAGACCCTCCCTCTTTGTTATTTCAAGCTGCAGTTGGCAGCAGACTTCAGTGGAAGCCAATGGTTCTGGGAGATCCCCAGCAGCCAAGGCTGTGTATGCAGACCCCTGCCGGCCCCAGCCTGTGGCTGGAGGTTCCCCCCCCCCAAACCAATGCACATCAGGGGAAGTGGCTGAGTCTGCAAGGAGATGGGGTGTTGCTGCAGACTCGGCAGTCTCCCCAGTCTTGGAGGACCTGGTGTGCAGAGGAACAGACAAGCCGGGAGCCTCTAGCCCTTGCCAGAAGCATTGTAAGCCCTAACAGGGCAAAAAACGTAGATTGGAGGCAAAGGAGGGCAGGGTGGTAGACTGGGGAAAACCCCTGAGCTATCCTGGGAAGAAGACGGGGAAATCGATTTCTGGGGCTTTCAGCCTCCCCAACCTGGGACAGGCTGGAGCAGATTAAAGAGCCCCCCCCCCCCCTTTTTTTTTCCCCCTCAGGGGGAAAGTTCCCATGGAACAGACAGGGAGCTAAAAGGCCCAGGGAAGGCCATAGAAGGGCAGGGAAAGTGGCTGTGGCCGTCTTGGGTCCCTGAACCCTCATGGTAGACTTACTTTCCCTTTCACTCCCAGGCAAATGAATAGAAAATGACTGCCAAGTCAGACGTATCAGTTCCCTGTGCCCAGACCTGGATAGCCCAAGCTAGTTTGATCTGTTGAGATCTCAGAAGCTAAGCAGAGTCAGCCCTGGTTAGTACTTTGGTGGGAGACCACCAAAGAAGTCCAGGGTCACTACACTGAGGCAGGGAAGGGCAGCAGCCCTGGCTTGGATGGCCCTGGCTAGTCCCGTTTGATTGGATCTTGGAAGTTAAGCAAGGTCAGCCCTGGTTGGCTCTCCACCTCTGACTGTCTCTTGCTTTGAAAACTGTATGGGGCTGCTGCTTGATAGCACTTCCACCACCTCCACTGTTTGCCAGAGAGAGGCTATAACAGATTTTTTTTTGGGGGGGGGGTACACTTAGTAAGATCTATTCAGATCATAAGCCTCACAGTCCCCGCAAGACTCTGCGGAGACCCAGGAAACAGAGGCAGCAAGGACAGCCCAGGATAGCCTGAACTCATCAAATAAGCATGGTCAGCCCTGATCAGTATTTGGATGGGAGACCACCAAACAGTACCAGAGGTGTGACACAGAGGCAGGCAAGGCAAACCATCTCTGAATATCTCCTGTTTTGAAAACCCCAAGGGGTCACCATAAGTGGGCTGTGACTCGATGACTGCAGAAAGTCCAGGAAGGACTCAGACTCCCCAGTTCCATCCTCGGACAGGGTAGAATGGCAATGGTCGGAGGAGGGAGAGGAAGTAGTACCAACAGTACAGTTTTGGCTATTCCCTCAACAGCTATACATGAGATTACTTTTCAAGTACTTAGAAGTTCCTCCAGACCTAAAGAAAATGATGTTCTTGACCCAGAACCTCCGGTGGAATCTGGCCAGCGGATGTACAAACTGGCAGTACCACAAGCAGGGATGACAGCCGTGACCTGAATGGCCCAGGCTCGACCATGCTTGTCAGATCTCAGAAGTTAAGCAGGGTCAGTACTGGTTAGTACTTGGATGGGAGATAACCAAGGAAGTCCAGGGTTGCTATGCCGAGGCAGGCAATGGCAAGCCTCCTCTGTTCCTCTAACTGCCCGCAGACAATGATGGAGTATTCATCTGACAGTGTCCTGCAGTGGTGGTGCTTCTCATCTACTAAATGAATTTCTGCCTTGTCTGAGCTTCTATTGTTATTTATTTCTCCTCTAGATTTTCATTCAGATTGTAGAAGCTTCCTCTGTGATCACCTGGGATTTTGATGTTTGTAAAGGTGACATTGTCTTTAACATCTATCACTCCAAGAGAGCACCACAGCCTCCTAAAAAGGAGTCCCTGGGGGCCCACAGCATTACCTCTCCGGGTGGCAACAATGTTCAGCTGATAGACAAAGCCTGGCAGCTGGGAAGGGACTATAGTATGGTGGAGTCTCCACTCATCTGTAAGGAGGGGGAGAGCGTCCAGGTGAGTAAGACTCTCCAAACATAGTTCATGGTTTGTTTACTGACTGAATACCTTCTGGAAGTAGTGTGTGCCAGGCAGTACAAATTCCTCTTTCAATCACTGCTCAGTTTTCTGATGGAAATAGGAATACAGTGTTCTCAAACTGCCTTTCTATTATTTTGGCCAAAGGTAGCTAGCCAGTTCAAAGAAAACTGCTAAAGTGTGCCATTTCAATGCCTCTGGCAGGAAGGCTTTGTGAGGTCTGTTAGGACAGCATTTCTCGAGTCTTGCTGAGTTTAGCCTCCCATTCCTCTGCCCCCCACTTGTCTGCTAATCATCTTACACTGCCTTCTCTCCATTCCCCAGTACAATTCTAACCGTCTGTTCCACGGTAAGTGTGCAGACATCCATGTATGCAGTCTGCTGTTGCATATGAGGATCTGTCACAGGGAGATGTAATTCAGCTTTCTTGTTGGGAGATGAATAGAAGAGGGCATCTGATTCCTCTAAACCAGCACAGGGGAGGAGGGAATAACTAAAAGATGCAGCTCTTCCTGAGGCATGACAAGAAACCAATGGTTCCAACCTAAGGGGGAAACTAGTCACAAGAACCAGAAACAAAATAAAAATACCCAGAAGCCAGTAATGGACTATTTTCAGCCCGATAAAGGACAAACACCATGGCATACACTCATACAAACGAAAAACAAAATGGCTGATGGCAAATCCAGTAAGAATGAAATACCAACAGAACTGGGGGCTAAAAACATTTTAACAGAAATGAGCAAGCATGGAATCTCGTCTAACTGAAATGATAAAACAGATTTTTGATTCCATTCAAACTCAACTGAACGAGATAAAACAAGCTTTGCATAACGTGGATCATTCAGTGAGGGAGAAATAATTCTCGGGAGATAATTAAATTTTATTATAGATCCCATTTTAGATAAATCCACTGCAAAAACAAATGAAAAACCCAACTTAACGTAAACTTACTCCCCTAGCAGGGATATGAGATCATCCTTTGGTAGATGCATGAAGACAGTTACGTAAAAGGGAATGAGACTATACGTATTACTCTCAAAGGCATTCCACATGTATGAGAATTGATTATCTTTTGATATCACCATCCTTACTAAGTAAAGTCCAAAATATCCAGATAGGCCCACTACAATGGTCAGACCACAATTGGATAGAATGTAAACTCTTATTAAATATTGAACAAAAACAAACAACATGGGTATTAAATATTTATTAAACCATCAAATAGTAGCAGCTGAGATTGAAAGACATATACAAAATTACTTTAATGATAACACTACAGATGATGTATCACCAACTATTATTTGGGATGCATTTAAACCAGTTTTAAGGGGATTTTTGATATCTAAACAAAAACAAGAAAAAAGGGAACAATTAGTAGCAGATATAAGCAAATTAGAGAGTCTCCGTAAAAAAAACAGGAAGCACTAAAATATATCGAGAATTATTATCTCTACGGAGAGACTTAGATTCTTTAGATATGGCACAAATACAGCAGAATTTATTATTTTTAAAACAAAAATCATGGCAAAATATGGCGAAGGCATTAAAAATTTTAAATAGTAGAGTTAAAAAGAAAAGAGAAACTAATTTAATTAGGAAATATATTTGATAACGGAAAAATAACTTACTCTTTTCTAAGTTATTATAAACAGTTGTATGATTCTAATAATATAAAGTCAGATGTAATAAATGATTACTTAGAACATCATTATAACAACATTAAACTCTTCCTAGAACACAAAACACTAATGGAAAATACAATAAAAGTTTCCAGAGCCATTAAGAACCTAAAAGTTAATAAGGCTTCTGGACCAGATGGCTACATCTCTGATTTTTATGAAAAATATATAGTTAATCTAATAAAACCTCTAACAAATGCTTGTAACTATATCATGCAATTTGGAATCCTTCCTCCATCATGGGCACAGGCAGCCATAATAGTTTTGCCTAAACCAGGGAAGGACCCTACTATAGTTACCTCATATAGACCAATATCTTTATTAAATATAGATTTCAAAATCTTTACTTCTATAATAGCAACCAGATTGAATTCCTTTGTGAGTCACTATATCCCCCAAGACCAAGTGGGCTTTCTGCCTAAGTGTGATTTAACTGATGTCAGATATAAAGCCTTGAGTTTAATAAGTTATTACAAATCAACTAAACAAAACCCATATGCATGGTCTTCGATATAGAAAAAGCCTTCGATTCGGTAGAGTTTAATTATTTAACAAGAGTATTATAAATCAATCAATCAGAACCTTTATTGGCATATTAGAAAATACAGCAGGGAGACAAGGACACATCCTTTACCCTTGCAACTGAAACAATCTTCTCATCTTAATAGCACAACAGAGAAATTTAGCTACAGCTTCTATGATCTTGGGGTTATGGGAAGATAATAGTGAAATGATCTTATAGTCATCAGATTGCCCTACTTGATTCTAATAAAGAAGTTCTAGAAAAATAGCACAAATATCACAGTAAAAAGAACAATACAGGAGAACATGTTCGATACTTTCAATCTCTCCCAAGCCACAGGCACAAAACCTAGATGAGTATGGGATTTTCTTGAACCTCCCGTACAATACAGCAGAAGGGAGAATATTAAAACGAGCTAACATGAATGCTCTTCGCAGATCAGGGGTTGTCAGACAAGCAAAATATTCAGGCAAAGAACCGTTAGAGGGCTTCCCCCATCTCAGAGGTGAGCACGTACCAGAGGCAAGACTTCTAAGTTCCTGCATTTCAATATCAACAAGTCTCTGCTTAATCAGAACAAATACACTCCTCTCAGGAAGATACACTATGTCATCAAAATCTAGCCCAATTAGAGATATTTTTCCCCCTATAAAGGTCATCCATGCAGATGTTTGTGCTTCAGAGAGCATGGTGTGCAATAAGACTATTCAGACTACTCCTAAAGTGTATACGCAGCCAATACTTGATTGTCGTAATCCAAGCTCTTGTCACTAAACGTCTTTGGTTTGTCTCCAAACAAATGGCTGCATAAGGCACACATGCTGGCAGCCCCAGAATTTTCCTTAGAAAATAAAATTGTACGCATTCTACTGCTTTATTAAAGGCTGTCATCCAAATCGGGGTGCCATAGAGCAGTTTGGGACATATTTTGTAATTGAAAATTCTAAGGGCTGCAGGGATATACTGATTTCCCTTAGTGTAAAAGAAACGTGTGATTGCAAGAATATTACTATTCACTGATTTTAACACTTCCTTGTTGTGAGTAACCCAATTTGCACTGAAGTGGAAGTGAACTCCTAAATATCTAAAGCTTTTAACCTGTTCAATCACTTTCCCTCTAATATTCCACTTAACAGGTTTCCAACTTTGCCCAAAAGCAATTATTTTAGATTTCTCATAATTTAGGGTCAATTTATTCAAATCGCAATAATCAAGAAAACGAAGTAACATCCTTTTCATCCCTATTTCTGAAAAGGAAAGAAGCACTGCATTGTCTGCATACAGAAGGAGTGATACATGCAGCGCCCCTAGTTTTGGACTATGTCCATCTATTCCTTTCAGGAAGGGGGGCAGGTCATTTAAAAAAAGGTTAAAGAGTAGGGGGGCTAAGATGCATCCTTGTTTAACTCCAATGGACACTGGAATCTTAGGTGTTAGATCTCCTTCCTTTGAGCATCTAACCTGGCAAGTGGTTTCAGAGTGAAGCTTTTTAATCAAAAAAAGCAACCTCGCATCAATCCCCCAATCCTTTAGCTTCTTCCACAGAATATTTATAGGAACTGAATCAAAAGTGCCCTTAAGATCTAAAAAGGCTGCGAATAAGGTAAGCCCCTTCACTTTCCTGTATTTATTCACCAAATGATTAAGGACAATACAATGATCTAATGTTGTCTTCCGCTGGCAGAAGCCAACTTGCTCCAGCCCTAGTATTTGCTGATTTGATACCCACAGCTTACGTTTATTAGCCAGATATCTAGTGTACAACTTCCCAATAGTGGATAAAAGGCTGATCGGCCTGTAATTACTAGGGAGCTGACAGTCACCTTTCTTGAATATCAGGACTACTATAGAATTCGTCCAAGCTTCGGGTATCAAGCCTGTCCTATTGATGGCAGTAAAACGGGTAGCTAAAAAAGGTGCCCACCACCCTGGAAATGCCTTAATAACTTCAGGCATGATTGCATCAGGCCCGGGGGCTTTCCCTCGCTTGATTATCGCAATTAGAGGTTCTATCTCTGAAGCCTGTACTGGGGGCCAGTCTGGACAGTAATCCAACCTGAAATCAAGCTCATCAACAGTATTTTCTCCATTCTCCTGAAAAATCTTCACAAAATATTCATACCAAGCATTTATTGTTATTGGACTATTAACAAAACCATTCCTACCCATAGAATCTGAGATCAGGGCCCAAAATTTCCTTGTATCATTATTTATTGTAGCTTGGAGGAGAGGTTCCCAGCATTTCTGTAAAAAACTTTTTTTCTTATTTTTATAAAGTCGCTGTAGTACCTTTGGAGCTGCAGTGGCTCAACATATAGTCCACAACACTGCAGCCCTGAGATGAGGCATAAGTAAATTCACCAGGATAATCATATGGAGGTAAACCATTCCATGCAACCAAATTAAACCTCAGACAAAGTTGAGCTAAACGGATACCTGCTTCATTGGTTTGTGGATCCTTAAGATGTCTCAGGTAAAATAAACAATTGGGCAGAGTGTTATCTATAATAAGGCCTAAATTCCTAGCAAGCTCTGTTCCATTCTGACCCATTCTGGCATTGAAATCACCAGCCATTACAATATTCACAGCAGGGTATTTCTGTTCAAGGACCTCTAAATACTCTAAAAGCCCATCCCAATGCAAGGTCAGGGTTTCTTTTACATTACTTGGCGGCATGTAAACATTAATTATTATTAGGGACTTCCCTGCGTTTTTCAGCAGACAGGCCTGTGTTAAATGCCCAAAATCCTTCAAGGGGATCACCTCCAAATTG